CCACCATGTTATATAAGGTTGTTACACTCGTACACTATATATATATATATATATAATATATATATAATATATATATATATATATATATATATATATATATATATATATATATATATATATATATATATATATATATATATATATATATATAATATATAATATAAGTGACCCCCAAATACGCGGAGGTTATGCACCAAGACCAACCGCGGATTTTGGATCCGGTTAAAAAGATGCCTACAAATGCCTATTTTTTATAGTTTAAACCCAAAATATGCCCTCAAAACTTTAATTTCAAACTCAGCTTCATACATAACCCTTAAAAAAATGTAAAGATAAAACCGTATACAGTCCTGTACTCTCTTTCCCACAGTGCTAGAATATAAAATACCGATGTTACCCCCATATATACTGTAAAATATGCAAGCCCATTTATTTTGGTATTCTGTAATTCATGTAATCCCGTTTTCTTTGGTATACGTTTCGGAGAATATACGGTAATAATTTGTGTCTTTTCTGTAGCATTATATTATGTTTTATAATGAAATTTTGCTTAATTTATATTAATATTTGTTACAAAATTATATTTTTCTTAATATTTAGCGTTAAAACGCATATAAATTATAATATATATATATATATATATATATATATATATATATATATATATATATATATATATATATATATATATATATATATATATATATATATATATATATATATTATATATATATATATATATATATATATATATATATATTATGTCGTGCCGAATAGGTAAAACTGGTCAATTAGCAAGAACTCTTTTAAAATTAAGTCCTTTCTAAAATTTTCTCTTGTACATTTAAAGATATTTTTTACGTAAAAATTAATAATTTTGAGCCTAAAGAACCTTAGGAAACTTACCTAACCTTATCATAACGAGCGCAATTTAATTTAGCCTAATTCAAATATATATAATTTAGATAAGTTTACAGTAATTTAATAATAAACAAACACAATGAGATATATTTTTTTTTCGTTAGGTTCAGAATGATTTTTGAGAAATTTTCGTTTGTCTTATTCGCCAGGAAGAGCATTGCAAGTTTTACCTATTCGGCACGACATTATATATATGTATATATATATATATATATATATATATATATATATATATATATATATATATATATATATATATATATATATATATATATATATATATAATTAGGTAATTAGGCAGTGTCACCAGGGACAACTATACAAATCTTTCACACAATACATGCTAAAGTATGGTACATCTATTATTTACCATGAGAGAGAGGCTATCCAGTGATATTCACTCTCTCAATATTTCATGTTTTTCATCTTTGACTTGCGTCCGTGTGTATAAATTCAAGAAACAGCGACGCTTCCTCTGAGTGATCGTACATTAACAGCTTTGTGAGGGAGATAACCATATAAATATTTATAACTATATTAAAAATATATTCGGGGCCTGCCGACGAGATTTGGTTCATTAAAATAGGCTTTAATATTCTCTTCCGTCATATGTGCATTGATTCCCTCCTGGCTCTTGATCCAGGTAACTGGAATTGGCTTTTCCCAGGCACCGTTTGACGTCTACGGGTATAGTGCTTCCTCCTGATTACAATAAGTACTTAGTCCCTAATACAGGTGTTAAATGCAAATACGTAACTCTGCAAATACGTAACTACCAAGTGATGCACATTTTTCACTGTTAAGTTAGAATGCGTTTAGCTGTTTAGGGAATGATGGATCGAGCCTCCACGATTACCTCCACTGAAGGCCTGCACTCATTTTTCGTTTTATATAATAATTATAATATTAATTATAGTAATAATTTTGTACATATTCTGAGGAAAGAACGCTGATTTAGCGTAATTGGCAGTACTCGTTTTGCAAAACTAGAGGCAGTTCTGCGTTTAATATTTGTTAATGTTTGTTACTGATGTTAAATAAGCCCATTTAAACTTAGACTGAACTTAAATAGGCTAGTTATAAATCATTCATTATTTTAATATAATTACATTAGCAGAAAAGTTAGCACTTTGTGTTTAATTCGCAATTTGAACTCTGTTAATTTACTTAAATATATTTATCAATACAAAATGGGAATTGACACAGTTACTTTTTGCTGATGATACTGTGCTTATGGGAGATTCTAAAGAAAAATTGCAAAGGTTAGTGGATGAGTTTGAGAATGTGTGTAAAGGAAGAAAGTTGAAAGTGAACATAGAAAAGAGTAAGGTGATGAGGGTATCAAATGATTTAGATAAAGAAAAATTGGATATCAAATTGGGGAGGAGGAGTATGGAAGAAGTGAATGTTTTCAGATACTTGGGAGTTGACGTGTCGGCGGATGGATTTATGAAGGATGAGGTTAATCATAGAATTGATGAAGGAAAAAAGGTGAGTGGTGCATTGAGGTATATGTGGAGCCAAAAAACGTTATCTATGGAGGCAAAGAAGGGAATGTATGAAAGTATAGTAGTACCAACACTCTTATATGGGTGTGAAGCTTGGGTTGTGAATGCAGCAGCGAGGAGACGGTTGGAGGCAGTGGAGATGTCCTGTCAAAGGGCAATGTGTGGTGTAAATATTATGCAGAAAATTCGGAGTGTGGAAACTAGGAGAAGGTGTGGAGTCAATAAAAGTATTAGTCAGAGGGCCGAAATGGGGTTGTCGAGGTCGTTTGGTCATTTAGAGAGAATAGATCAAAGTAGAATGACATGGAGAGCATTTAAATCGGTAGGAGAAGGAAGACGGGGTAGGGGTCGTCCTCGAAAAGGTTGGAAGGAAGGGGTTAGGGAGGTTTTATGGGCGAGGGGTTTGGACTTCCAGCAGGCGCGCATGAGCGTGTTCAATAGGAGTGAATGGAGACGAATGGTATTTGGGACCTGACGATCTGTTGGAGTGTGAGCAGGATAATATTTAGTGAAGGGATTCAGGGAAACCGGTTATTTTTATATAGCTGGACTTGAGTCCTGGAAATGGGAAGTACAATGCCTGCACTTTAAAGGAGGGGTTTGGGATATTGGCAGTTTGGAGGGATATGTTGTGTATCTTTATACGTATATGCTTCTAAACTGTTGTATTCTGAGCACCTCTGCAAAAACAGTGATTATGTGTGAGTGAGGTGAAAGTGTTGAATGATGAAAGTATTTTCTTTTTGGGGATTTTCTTTCTTTTTGGGTCACCCTGCCTCGGTGGGAGACGGCAGACTTGTTAAAAAAAATATTTATCAAAATAAGTGGTTCCAATTTTCGATTTTTTTCTGTATCGTCACAACTTGTTTCATGGACTTTACATGTTTGGACCTCCCCCCCCCCCCACACATATATTCATTCATTCATTATATGTATGTATAAAAAAAGAAAACAGAAAAATGGGCGGTTCGAGCCTTCAGTCCACCTTTTTGTTTATTCATCGATAGTTGTTCAATACGAATTAAATTGAGGTCAAATATATATAATATTTATAATTCACACATCTCGGTGTACAAATAATCATAAAAAATAAAAATTAAAACTAATAATAATGATAGCAATGATGCTAATAACCGTTAGACGCCCCTACATAAAGCTCACTTTTAATATAACTTTACATACTACAGGACTTGAAGATTAATTTATATTTGCGATATTCTTGGTTTCTTGAGTATTTACACTTTAAAGAATGGAAATCTCATGAGTGGGAGGGTTAATGTCTGTTGCTTCAATTGAGGTCATGGTGTTCAGGACAAGATCATATGTTTTATGACTTGTCAGTTGTATTTATGTACCCAAGAATCAAGTTTTATATTTGCTCTCTCTCTCTCTCTCTCTCTCTCTCTCTGTTTCATGATTTTCGCACAGTTTCTTAAACTCGGGAAACACATCTTTCTTCACTTCATCTAATGCAATGTACATAGTTTTACGATTTGAAATCTTTTTAGTTATTGCCAGATTAGAGCAAGTGATTCCCTGATAGGATTTGCCAGTATTAATCGGTCTGGAATAAAGCAAATCCTTTGTATTTTAATAATCATATTTGGTATAGTTTTTCTATTCACATGACAAGTGATCACCAGACGCTTGTGACTACAGGCAAGAGTATAACCATTTAACTAGGTTGCATGTAACTGCTCTCTCAATCACTTGTTTCCATTGGCTGCTCTACAAACCCAGCCAAGAAAAAGAGTGGGTTATTATCTTAAACGGTTTTAAAATTGGTTTGATGAAAGAAAAACTTGGAAAAATAACCGACTGGAATTTGCATGACCCTTAATGGAACACTTACTTGTCATAGGAATGTTTATTTTGTGAGTATGGCTGTACTGCAGATAACTACAGCAAAAACAAGACATGCTACGGTGAAAGTTTTTGTCAGGCAACGTTTCGCTCTGTGTAGACAGATATCACTACTTGATAAAGTTCCACAATGAGCTTAACGTTGTTCTGATACAAGCTTGCTCCCCAGCGTGTTTGTCTTCAGTTATTTCATGGATTTGTTGAGTACTGGGCGAAAGAGGATTGAGAATGTACAGCGAACATTGAGAAATTTGTTAATTTAAGTTATTGATGTATTTTACATTTGGTATAAATATATACAAAGTGGAGCATTTCACACTATGAAACTGAAATGTTTAAAATACAATCAAAGAAACCTAGTGCAAGAAAAGAAAGAATAAAGAGCGAGAATGAAAGAGAGAGGGGGAGAGGGAGAGAGAGAGAGAGAGAGAGAGAGAGAGAGAGAGAGAGAGAGAGAGAGAGAGAGAGAGAGAGAGAGAGAGAGAGAGAGAGAGAGAGAGAGAGAGAGAGAGAGAGAGAGAAATAACGATACGGCAAAACGAGCGAGAAGCCTACTATTTACATTTTAACTATTTACAATATTTACAAAAGAAAACAGAAATAAGTCTGCAGCAGAGCTCGAGAAATGGCTCTTCCATTCTCTTGCTTGCATTCTTGTTTCTTTGTTTATTTTGATTACTATAATGCATGTCTCATTGCCTCCTTTCTCTTGCTTTCCTTGTTTCATCTAGATCGACACACCACAGATGTTTGCAGGCAGGAAAAATGTTTGCATGTAAATATGTTTAAAGTGATGTAGTTATGAGAATCGATGTAGTCATGAGAATCGATGTAGTCATGAGAATCGATGTAGTCATGAGAATCGATGTAGTCATGAGAATCGATGTAGTTATGAGAACTGATGTAGTCATGAGAATTGATGTAGTCGTAGTCAGGAGAATCGATGTAGTCATGAGAATCGATGTAGTCATGAGAATCGATGTAGTCATGAGAATCGATGTAGTCATGAGAATCGATGTAGTCATGAGAATCGATGTAGTCATGAGAATTGATGTAGTCATGAGAATTGATGTAGTCATGAGAATTGATGTAGTCATGAGAATTGATGTAGTCATGAGAATCGATGTAGTCATGAGAATCGATGTAGTCATGAGAATCGATGTAGTCATGAGAATTGATGGTCATGAGAATCGATGTAGTCATGAAAATTGATGTAGTCATGAGAACCAATGTAGTCATGAGAATTGATGTAGTCATGAGAGTCTGTGCAGTCGTATGAATTTGCGTATTATGTGAATTAATGTTCTGATGTGACGATGTCTTGTCTATACAGCAAATACTGTATATACATCTGCATTTATGAGGATTTGTGACGTGATGTAGAACGGTGTGTGGTATGGGATGCTATGCACAATCATGTGTAGTATGTGACATGAGCATTCATGTCACGTAGTCATATTTGATTGTGGTTTTATATATAATTAAATTTAATTATGCATAGTTATGTTGTGATGTGCAGTCATGGGAAGTAATGTTTGGTCATGCGAAGTTGTGAACTGTCATGTGAAACTGTTGTCATACATGCAGTCATGTGAATTTGTGCAGTTATGAGAGTTTATGAGCAATCATGTGAAGTTATGTGAGATGGGAATTTGCGTGCAGTGTTTGAGACTGTGCATTCACGACAAGTTGAATGAAGTTATTTGAGGTATGAAATCCATTCTTGACGTTGTTGGCATATGTCGGTTTCTAAGTTGGTCTCCATGTTGGTCTCTTATGTTGTTCTCGTTGGTAGCTGTTGATCTCTTACAAGCCTCGTTGTTGGTAACTAAGCTGTTGTAAAAAAAAGTATAATGTTCTAAATTGCTGCCTCTCTCTCTCTCTCTCTCTCTCTCTCTCTCTCTCTCTCTCATATATATATATATATATATATATATATATATATATATATATATATATATATATATATATATTATATATATATATATATATATATATATATATATATATATATATATATATATATATATATATATATATTAGTGTGTGTGAAAATTAATTTTTATCTTCAGTGTTATCAAATATATATGTGCATAAGACATATATTTTGCATACTGTCTCATTCATACTTAAAATGCATGCGCGCGCGCACACACACACACACACACACACACACACACACACACACACACACACACACACACACACACACACACTCACACACACACTCACACACACACACACACACACACACACACACACACACACACACACACACACACACACACACACACACACACACACATTCATTAATTTTAATTTCTTGAAAATTTAAATATATTTAGTAATCAGAAGGAAAACAATCGAATTTAACCTGAATCTGATATACAGTGAGCATAGCTATAAATATTACTCAACACTTTGTGTAGCTCTCAACCTTCCGTCTTCCCTGGGATCTCTCTCTCTCTCTCTCTCTCTCTCTCTCTCTCTCTCTCTCTCTCTCTCTCTCTCTCTCTCTCTCTCTCTCTCTCTCTCTCTCTCTCTCTCGCTTCTCTCGCTCTCTCTCTCGCTCTCTCTCTCTCTCTCTCGCTCTCTCTCTCTCTCTCGCTCTCTCTCTCTCTCGCTCTCTCTCTCTCTCTCGCTCTCTCTCTCTCTCGATCTCTCTCTCGCTCTCTCTCTCGCTCTCTCTCTCGCTCTCTCGCTCTCTCTCTCTCTCGCTCTCTCTCTCGCTCTCTCGCTCTCTCTCGCTCACCTGACCGAGCACTAGACGGAGCTCTCGTGGTTGCCGCCCTGGGAGCACGTAACAACCATGGTTCTGACGGGGGCGCAGGTGGGGGTATCCTTCGGGCACAGGTCTGGCTGCCCCCGAGGAAGCGGCTCTCCTGGGGAGCTCCTAGGACAAGGCGAAGGAGGGGAACCACAATCTTCCGGGAAGAAGGATGTGAATGGAAGAGGATGTGGATTCATTTGAGCTAGTGGGATTGAAGGAAGAAAGGAGGCAGAGCAGGAGGGGGTTAAAGAAGGGCAGGGAAAGGAAGAGGATACCTCGGGAGGTAAAACGCTCTGGTTGGCTACTGAAGAAGAGGTATCCTCCAAGAGGGCGTCTGTTTCCCTCGGTATCCCTGTAGACACCTGAAGAATAAGAGACGAGAAGGGTGTCACTGAAAAATACTCGAAATTAAACCTAAATATTGAACAAAATATATTT